CCAGAACAATCCCTGGTCTCCCTACTTCTGTGTGTGACATTCCTCCAGGTACCCACCTCCTGTGTGCATGAAATGACCTCCTCTTCAACAACTTCCTCTGTGTGGTCCCCATCCAAGACTGTTCATTCCTCTCTGTCCAGGAAAAGCTCTTGCTCCCTAATGTGCTGAAGTGTAGCTACCCGGGCCTCCAGCTGCTTGACTTTCTCTTCCAGGAGGGCTACAAACTTGCACTTGGTGCATATGAAGTTCCCCACATCTCTTGACAAGAAGACAAACATCCCACAAGTGTTGCAGGTGACTGCAGCAACTCTCTCAGTGTCCATATTGAGAAATCTTCACTAAGCACTGAAACAGGACTGTGGGCTTCTCCCTGAAAAAGTCCCCTGATAAAGACCCACATAAAGGGCCCCTGTTCTCTTGGTCTTTTCACCAGGCTCTGTCAGCGAGCTCAATCAACTGGGTTTCTAACTCTACAGAGAGCTCCTGGATGCTACCTTATTCTGGAGGCAAGTCTCTGTCTCTCTTCCTCTGAGCAAAAAACAACTTCAAAGGCCCACTCAATATGGCTGCTCAGAAACTGCTTTCCTTCTCCCTTCCTGGCAGAAACTGACCTGGAAAGCTACTGCCTTCTTTTCCTTCTCCTTCCTGGCAGAAACTGACCTGGAAGCCTCTGGGAGGAGTTGTATCATGAGAAAGGGGACCACACTATCCCTATCACCATCCTTTCCATCACCCTGTGCTCAGGGAAGATGACTGATTTAAGAGGAGAGCCTCTGCTGCCTATGGCTCTAAATCTAGATTCTAAATCGCATGAAGAGATTTCAAACTATTCTCCTTCTTGAAGAGAGTGTATTAAAATGGTGGCAGGTGTGTGGGACTAGTACGCTGTCCCTCTTTGGATGTTCATTTGACATGTTTTAATAATGCCTTAATAATATGTGTGTGCAAATTCTATTTATTTTCAATAGGTTTGTCAAACCAAGTGTGCTTAGGGCAGCTCACATTTAATGAAACAGAAATAAAAGCCAGTCTCAGATAGCAGCAAAGCATGCAGGGCCAGGCATGCCTCCTTGGAAAAGCTGTTCCAGATGGTTTCCTTATGCCCACCCTAGATGACAAGGTGACAGAGTAAAGTGTCCATTGTGGAGCAGTGTTTGGTTCATCTAGAAGAAAGTGGCCTGGTCCCAGAGTTTTTGTAGCTTTAAAGGTCAAAAGCAAAACCTTGAATAGAATTCTGAAACAAATTGGCTACCAGTTCAATTGGTAAAGAACTGAAGTAATGTTAGATCTTAATAGCCTGTGCCAAAAACCTGACAGCAGTTTTCTGGCCCTGTTGAAGCTTTTGAATAGTCTTCATTGGCAGTCTACAGAGTGCATTGCAGTAGTTGAACCTGGAGGGGATGCAGATATGAATGAGTGAGACTAGGTTTGAGTTCTCCACCTCAGGTTGCAGCTCATAAACACCATGCATAATTCTCTGTCTCGTTCTCAATCTCTTTTGTCGTCTCCACTTTTCTTTCTTTTCTTTTTTCCTAAGCTAAACAGCCCTGAATATTGTAACTTTTCATCATAAGTCATTTGTTCCAATCCTGTATCATTTTGGTTTTCCTTTCCTGAATTTTTTTCCCAGCTTTGACTTTGTGTGAACAGAACAGTACAGGTATACCTCAGTTAACAAAGCTCTGACAGAATGCATAGGGATATTGTAGCACCTTTGAAACTTAACTGTGTGAAAGAAGTTGTAGCATAAGCTTTTGTCGACACTCTGCTTCCTTGGATGCAACTGACTGTATGCCAGCTTTCACTGAAATTTAATCTAGGACAGTTAACTTTTTTAAAAAATGCAGTGTATAAAAGTGGCCCAGTGGGGTTTTAATGACCTAATATTCTAATAACACAGTAAGAATAAGGACTAGAAATATGTAGGCAGGAAAAGAATGTAATGTTTTCCAGAAGTACAAGAGCCATTCCAACTTTTTCCTGTACAGGCATACCTGTTCACCAAGCCTCTGACAAAGAAGCTCCATTTTACAAAGTCTTTTTACAGGAGCTGCACCCAACCATCTTCCTTTTCTTGTCTTCTGTCTAGCTAAAATATATATTTTTTTATTTTTTGCAGCATTGGTATTAAGGTGGAGAAAGAATTACTGGCTTGCAGTTCTGGGCTGCAGCAGTGTAGTAAACAATAAGATAAAGCTTGAGCTGGGAAAGAATGGGATACTACTCTAGATGATCCTATTGTAGCTGGGTGTGCTTACATATGTGTGCAGCCCCAGGTCCCCTTCCTGAGCTCAGGGAGGTGGGCCTTTTTTAGAGGAACTGAGCCAGAGACTTGGTGGAAGGAGGAGTTAGCGGCCACTAGCTTTCTCTGAAGCTGGGCAAGCAAAGCTTGGCTAACAGGCGAGACCAACAGGAGTATTTTGTGTGGCTGAGGTTGAAGAGACTGCATAAGATGAGTTTGGGTTGGTTAAATCTCCCTAGCCCTGGAGAGGCTTTTAGGAGAGCTTGGTGGTTCAAGGGTGAGGGCCCACTGGGGTAAAGCTGTTTTGTTTGTCTAAGCTTAGTGAAGGCTTGCTTGTGTGTGCATTAGTTCTGTTGTTCAGTTGTAGTTTGGTGAGCTTGTGTCCGTTGGGTTATTGATTTTTTTTGTGCGAGCTTAGTGGGGGTGTGATTGTGTGCTCATTAGCAAGCTTCTGTTCTATTCTGTGTAGCCCCAGGTATCCTTTTTAGCACCTGGTCTCAGGGAGTTGGGGCTTTTGCTCAGAGGAAGTGAGTCAGAGACTTGGTGAAAGGAGGCGCTAGCAGCCACTATCTCTCAGTATAGCTGCAACCCCAGTCTCTGGAGCGCGGCTAACAGTTGAGACCAACAGGAATGCAGTGGGGGAGTTTTGAGAAGGAGGCCATGAGTTCTGTTTCAGTGACTACTTAAGTCTACTGATTATGGACAGTGGGGGAGCTGCTGCAGTCATCTGCAACAGCTATGGTATATTTGTGTTCTTGCCAAAAGAAGTGAGTAACTTCACCTGCATCAAGCGCAAGTTGGTCCCCTTCTTTGAAGAGAAGGCCTAGCAACTTGAGGTCATTTATTCACTCTGCAGCATATTAGGGAGCATGAGGACTTCTTGGACAGAGCAAGACAGATTGTCCTGCTTGAGAAACACACAAGGGATGTCTCTGGGGAGGAGGTCAGTTCCTGTACAAAGAAGTTAAACAATTGAATCACGTTACATGTAAAAGTAGAAGGATCAGGGATCCTTCTGTGAGGTTGGAGCTGCAGAATCGATTTGAAGCTCTCTCCCTTATCAGTAATGATGAGGGGAAGTAAGAACAGCAGCAATGTCAGTCCTCAGAGAACGTGCATGAAACCTTGGAAGGTTCAGCACATGGAATGACCTCTGTCAAAGCCAGGGGTAGGCAACCTTTCCCCTTTAAGGGCCGAGGGACTTCAGCTCCCAGAAGCCTCAGTCATGTTGGCCAATAGTCCCATGTTGACCAATAGCTCCTGGGATTCTGGGAGCTGAAGTCCCTCGGCCCTTAAAGGGGAAAGGTTGCCTACCCCTGGTCAAAGCCTTGGAGCAGGCATATGGTGATGGTAGAGGACTCTTGCTCAGACCAGAGCCTTTAGTGCCTGTTCACACTACAGGGGTACAGAATCAGTAGTTTGTGGGCCTGGCAAGCTCTCTCAAGAGGTGTGCTTTCTCCCTGGGACACAAAGGTAACAGAGAGTCTGACAGGACTGATGAAATGACCTTGCAAGACCTTCAACTCAACTCAGGGGAAGTAGTTCATGCTGGCCAGTGGCAGGTATGGAAATGGAAAGACCTGCTTGGCTCTGACATCCAAAAGGTTCTGTTAGCCAGGAGAGGCTTCTGGGGAGTAGAAGGAGACAGAGACTGTAGTGTGAACAGGCACTAAAGGCTCTGGTCTGAGCAAAGGAAGAAATGCTGAGAAAGAGCATAGGAAGCCAAGGACTATTTGGTAGATGGGTTAGGTTCCCAGTTCTTTGGGAAAGGGATTGGACAACACAGCTGGCAACAGGAAAGTTGGACAGTAGTGTTTTATATTTTAAATGTGTGTTTGTTTTTTGTTTTCTTTTTTTGGCAACCATGGGGGAAAAAATAATTGTAAAACTTGTGTTTTAAATAATTGGGTTTTCTTATTATAAGTTGTTGTGTGCCTTCAAGTCATTTCTGACTTACGATGACCCTAAAGCATGCCTATCATGGGGTTTGCTTAGCAAAATTTGTTCAATGGATGTTTGACATTGCCTTCCCCTGAGGCTGAGAGCATGTGACTTGCCAAAAGTTTCTTGGCCAAGCTGGGAATTGAACCACTGTCTCCAGAGTCATAATCCAACACGCAAACCACTACACCACACTGGCTTTCTATAGTTACCTTTTTCATGTAATTTTCCTATTTGTTTTTTTAAAAAGAGTTCACATTTCAAATGCCTGGTTGATTTCATAAAGGAGAAGGAAGGGGAAACCCTGGTCAAAGGTCTCTGACCAGGGCTACCAGGAACCTAATAAGTATTAGTCTGTGTTCCCAACAGGATTAAGAGAGAGAGAAGGTGTTGAGACCTTACACCTTCAGAAACTTGAAAGGGATTAAATATGCAATGAAGGGCTTGGTGGCAGCACTGCTGTGCCACTGCACTGGGAAGAGGAGGCAAGTCTGGGTAGATTTCAGCTTTTCAGGTATATTTCATCCCAGAGCCCCTTTTCATCACAACTGGTCAAGCTCACTGACCGTTATTCCTTACTTTTGATCCACATGAGAACCAATGATACCGCAAGGCACAGCCTTTAAAATATCACAAGGGATTATGAGGCTTTGGGTGGGAGACTGAAGGGTCTAGATCAGGGGTAGGCAACCTTTCCCCTTTAAGGGCTGAGGGACTTCAGCTCCCAGAATCCCAGGAGCTATTGGCCAACATGGGACTATGGGCCAACATGGCTGAGGCTTCTGGGAGCTGAAGTCCTTCGGCCCTTAAAGGGGAAAGGTTGCCTACCCCTGGTCTAGATGCACATGCAGTTATTTTGTCTGTCCTCCCAGTGGAAGGGCATGGTCCAGGAAGGGAAATAAAAATAGAGGGATGAAGAAATGGCTCTACAGATGCTGCTACCAGGAGTTATTTGGCTTCTTGTACCATGGTGTGCAGTTTCATGGAGGTGGACTTTTGGCAAGGGATGAGTTGCACCTCATAGCAGTTGGCAGTGTTTTTGCTAAGTCTGAAAGATCTATCAGGAGGGCTTTAAACTGAATCATGGTGGAAAGATGACAGTATTCTTAAGAGCAGGAATTCATCAGCTGCTGGAGATAGCGTGTGCCTGAGTTCACTACTTCTCTGTGCTGCCACCTCCCTCTGGCCATCCAGCTGGCCAAGGACTCCCACTTGTAGGCAGAGCCACATGCCAAACTGCTCCCCTGCTCTTGTAGGGGCAACAGGCAGTGAGGCAGGGCCCCAAGGGGAGGAGGAACAAATAGAGAGGCCTTTGGGCAGCAGTTGGAGGTGTAGAGGATAGTGTAAAATTTGGAAGCCCAGCAGAACCAGTTTTCAAGAGGACCTGTTTCTCTGCCCTTCTCCAAGCATCCTCACTTGTACACTTGTTCTCTCCGACACTCAGTCACACTGTATCACTTGCTCTTTTTCATTCACGTACTCACTCTCGCAGGGGTTCATTCATGCTAATTCTCTGTCCTGCTGACCCATTTCTCTGAGAGGAATTCCTTTCAGTCTCAAAAGGTGCTAACATAAGGTTCCTTTATCTCTTTATTTGTGACACACACAAGACCCATATGCACATGCACATGCTCAGCTACATATTTTTCTTGCTTGCTTTCTCCCTCACACCTTCTCATCCAGTTAATTCTTACAAGTCATGGTGCCTCTCCCTCGCTCACAGACCCTGATTCACACATATTCTGAAACTCTCTCATGCTAATTCTCTCACACATTTGCACACTATGACGTTCTTTCACAGTCATACACACATTAATTCTTTCACACATCCTCAGTAAGTCCCTCTGGTGTGTGAGTGTTTTTCTCTCACATGCTAATTGTTTCTCATATGCATTCAGTAATACTCTTTTTCTTACTCTCTCTCCCTCAGATACATTCATTCACACAGTCTCAAACACAAATTCGGTCTCTTTCTCTCTCTCTCTCTCTCACACACACACACACTCACTCAATCACACTTCTTTTCTTTTTTACATACTCACATATGCATTTGTGTATACTTTCATATACACAAGATAATGAATGTTTCTGACTGTTTTTATGAATGAAAGAATGTATACATATCTGTGAACATTGGTATATGTGTGTGGCTGTGTGAGTGTAAAATTTACACATGTTAAGTACTGAATTTATTTAAATAAAGCTTTTCTAATTTGAACAATGTTATTTCCTTATTAGATGTTAAAATATGAATATGCAAATGAAAATATGTACATTAAGCAAACAAAATATTTTTTCATATACTACATTGAGTGAGGTGTCAGATGGGAGTGGGGCATCCTCATGTAATAATAATAATAATAATAATATTTATTTGATACCCCGCCCCTCTGAGCACAATCGAGGCGGCTAACAAGATAAAAACGTCATACAGAGCTAAGAACAATTTATGTATATATAAAGGGGATCACAAGGGGAAAGCATTAGAACCACTGCTCTGTATTAATGCACAGAGCATGAGAACTCTTAGCACAGCAAAGCAAATATTATATAATAAGCATCACTAAAACCTGGTGGGACAAGTCTCATGATTGGAATGTAGAAATAAAGAGATACAACCTATTTCAGAGAAATAGACAAACAAGAAAGGGAGATAGAGTAGCCTTATAAGTTAAGGATGGGCACCCCTGTGAACAGATCCATGACTTAAATACTGGAAGCTAAGTTGAGAGTAAAAGTTAAGGGGGAGAGAAACAACAGGGATGTTGTGGTGTGGGTATACTACAGACCTCCAAACTGAAGATTTGGATGATGCCGTCCTGGAACATATGACCACACATTCAGAAAGGAGACATGTAGCAGTAGTGGGGGATTTCAACTATTCTAACATTTGTTGGGGGTCAAATTTAAGGTCCAACAAATTCATCACTTGCCTTGCAGACAGTCTCATTGCCCAGAACGTGGAACAGTGTTGAACCTGGGTAAAATGGAGCAGATAAACAGTAGGGGAAATCATAGAGTTGGAAGAGACCACAAGGGCCATCCAGTCCAACCCCCTGCCATGCAGGAACTCAAAATTATTCCAGCACATTTTAGGCAAAGAGGTAGTTCGGGGATACTTGGCTACTCTGAACGAATGCAAGTCTCCAGGGCCAGATGAAGTACATCCAAAGGTATTTTTAAAAACTGGCAGAAATAATTTCAAAACCACTGGCAATAATCTTTGAAAATTTATGGAGAACAGGAGAGGTCCCAACAGACTGGAGGAGGGCAAATGTTGTCCCCATCTTCAAAAAAAGGAAGAAAAAAAGAGAACTCAAATGATTACCACCCAGTCAGCTTGATATCAATACCAGGAAAGATTCTAGAGCAGATCATTGAACAGACGGTCTGTAAGCTATTAGAAAGAAATGTCGTGATTATTAAAAATTGTCATGGGTTTCTCAAAAACAAGTCATGCTAGATGAATCGTATCTTGGTTTTTAGAGAGAGAGAGTCACAACTTGGTAGATGAAGGGAATGCTGTGGATGTAGCATATCTTAATTTCAATAAGGCCTTTGACAATGTCTCCCGTGATATCCTTGCAAAAAAGCTAGCAAAATGTGTACTAGCCAATGCAACTGTTAGGTGGATTTGTAATTGGTTGACCAGCCGGACCCAAAGGGTACACAACAATGGTTCCTCTTCATCATGGAGAGAAGTGACTAGTGGGCTGCCACAAGGTTCTGTCCTGGGTCCAGTTCTGTTCAGCATCTTTAACAACGACTTGGATGATCGAATAGAAGACATGCTTAATCAAATTTGCAGATGACACTAAATTTTGAGGGGTTACTAATACCCCAGAAGACAGGCTCAGAATTCAAAGTAACTTTAACAGATTAGAAAGTTGGTCCATTGCAAACAAAATGACCATCCCAACAGATGGCCATCTGACCACAGGCTGAACATGAGTCAGCAATGTGACGCAGCAACTGAAAAAGGCAGTGCAATTCTAGGCTGCTTCAATAGGAATATAATGTCTAGATTGAGGGAACTTATGGTATCACTCTATTCTACTTTGGTCTGATGGCACCTGGAATATTGTGTCTAGTTCTGGACACCACAGTTTAAGAAACATGTGGACAAGCTGGAGCCTGTCTGGGGAGGACGACCAAAATGGTAAAAGGCCTGGAAACCATGCCCTATGACGAGCAGCTTAGGGAACTGGGTATGTTTAGCTTGGAGAAGAGAAGGTAAGCAAAGCAGCTTATTTATATACCGCTTCATATCACGCTATGGGATGTCTAAGCGGTTTACAACTGTGAGCTGATTGCCCCCCAACAAGCTGGGTACTCATTTTAGCGACCTCGGAAGGATGCAGGCCTGAGTCGAGCCTCAGCCCTGGCTGGTATTGAAAGGGTGACATGATAGCCGTGTTTGCAGGGATGTCATATTGAGGATGGAGCGAGCTTGTTTTCTGTTGCTTCAGAGGCTAGAACATGATGTAGTGGATTCAAGCTACAGAAAATGAGATATTAGGAAGAACTTCCTGACAGTAAGAGCTGTTTGACATTGGAACATGATGCCTTGGAGACTGGTGGAGTCGCCTCCTTTGGGGTTTTTAAAACAGAGGCTGTATGGCCATCTGTCAGGAGTGCTTTGATTGTATATTCTTCCATGGCAGGAGGTTGGACTGGATGTCTCTTGTGGTCTCTTCCAACTTTATGATTCTGTGACAGGCAAAGTAAGCATCTGCCTACAGAATGATACTGAGAATGTGTGAAGAATAGAATAGAGAGTAAAGGAGAAAGCAGATTAGCCTGCCTCACCAGCTTTCCTCACATGTCAGGAAAGCATAGATCTATGCATTTTGCCACTAAAATAGAAATCATTGCAAAAATGGAAGCCAGTGAAAGAAAGAAAAAATCATCCCATGATGCATGTTGGAAGAAAGTTTCAGTTGGTTTCTAGAAAGTTCAAAATGTTTTTGTTTAGTTATGCAAGACTTATGTGACCTATTTTTTCCCATTTCACTTGTACATAATATTAGTTCTAAATAAAAACTTTGCTTAAACATGTTGTGCTGCTGCTCTTTGTGGGGGTAGAAACCATTCTCTATTCTTTCCTAAGGTACTAAAGCTTCTGTTAAAGAAGTCAAGCCCAGGCACTCATCTGCTTTGTTAAGTGATCTGTACTGAACCATAGTAAAATGGCTGAGG